TTCTTTTCTCTCCTGAATCCAGACAGCTCCCATTTTATTTATTTATTTATTTTAGAAAATTGCTCAGTGGAGGGTCACAAGGTGTCAGTGGTCTTGATGGAAGAATATCTCCTAGAAGATTTTTGGTTTTTCCAATGTGATCCCGTTCTGCCTTCTGAGTTTAGTTCAGTGCAGTTTCTTCTGAGGCCAGTTACCGTGTGCTCAGCTATGTGGTGGGTACAGACAGAGGATTAGACATTTGCAGTCATCCTCAGGGATCCCAAGAGGCCCTGCAGTAGGTGAGCAGCTGGGTAGGACTGGAACCTGTGGGTCTACCTGTCTGTGTGACATGGCCTACTGCACCAGCAGGGTGTCTGGTACTCCATATTTATTCACTCAAAATGAATTACAGGACAGCCCAGGATAAGAGTCCATTACATACCAATACTGTACAACACTGAGTCAAGAGTGTCCAATGGACTAAACAAGGGACAGTCACTGCTGACTTTACATTGGCTGGAAGATGTCACAGAAGGAATCATTTGTGTAGAAAGGAGCATGAAACGTGATATGTAGGAAAAGCTATGTCTCTGTTTCCTAGGTTAATCTTTGAAGTACATAGTAGCTACTCAGGTTTCCATCCTTATAATGAAATACTCATGGTAGTTCACTTATAAGAGAAGGTTTATGTAGGTCATAGTTTCAGAAGTTCCTATTTGATTGAGTGTCCCTCTTGTGGTGGGCCTCTGGTGAAGTGGCAGATCATGGCAGAAGTGTGTGGCAGGGCCAACTACTACCTCATGAGGTAGGAAGTAGAAAAAGAGGAAGAGCCTCAGCTCCTCAAATCCCTCCCACAGTGCATTGTCAATGACCAGAGGATCTTCCATTAGGCCTACTTGTTATAGGTACATCACCACCTAAGAGAACCTTTGGACACCCTGAAATTCCAACTCTAATAGTAAAAGATACCAAAGAACCATGCAAGGCAATAGTCTGAAATTGGGAGCAATTCAACCTCCTACTCCCCAAGAGGCATTAGAAATGTATTGAGGCATTTTTGGTTTCTGTACTCAGGCAGGAGTGCTAATGGCATGTAATACCAGTGTACAGCAGAAGGCATGGATGCTGTTACAGGTTATTAAGGCACGATACCTCTCTGCTTCAAAGACTTGGCTGGCTCAAAATGTTAACAGTGTTATGTTTTAGAAATCCTGATTTAGGGAAATCTATTTAAAAAATGATCAATTCCTTATGGCATGAAATAATGAGTATTTCATGACCAACAGTAGTGATTGGAAGCCAGGGTGTAATGATCAGATAATCTTGGCCTTTTTCCTTCTCTCCAAGGAACTTTTCCTCACTGCAATTGCACTTCTCTTCTTACACTTTTTTTTTTTTTGGTCAGTCGTGGGGCCTGAACTCTAGGCCTGGGAGCTGTCCCTTAGCTCTTCAGCTCAAGGCAAACGCTCTACCACTGGAGCCATTTTCCCAGCCTTCTTCCTACACTTTTGTAAGTATTTCCAGGCATTGTTCTGTTTTCTTACTTCATCTTTGGCTTAATATGGTCAAAGAGCTACCCAGAGAAATCCAGATTGTTGTTTGGAGAGAGAACAGAATTTGGAGTAGAATCTAGAAGTCTTGGTCTAAGATACATCTTTGTTCTTATGGTATCCAGGCTACATTCCTTGCATTAAGCTTTTTTTTTAAATTATGAAAATACCGTACAGAGGGGTTACAATTACATGAGCAAGGTAATGAGTACATTTCTTATCAAGCATTGTTGCCTCCTCCTTTGTTTCCCCTTCCCATCCCTTCCCATCCTCCCCCACCGCCCTTACTCCCCTCCCTCCCCACGCCAAGGTTGTAAAGTTCATTTTCGACATAATATCTTGTACATCTCATTGTTGTGATGGGTCCACCTGTATTCCTATTTGAACGATTTGTTTTTTCCCTTCCCCTCTACAAATTATACCAACATCAAATACGGTGAAAACAGAGGCGAGGGACATACAAAGCAACAAAGAAATATCTTATAAATATGTTAGAAACAATAGCAAGCAAGAAAAAAAAAACATTTGACTCCTTATCTTGGGGTTCATTTCACCTAACATCAACTTATCTGACCATTTCTGCTTGTCTCAGACATATACTAGTTATTGCAAATAAGGCTTTGTGGGTTATTCACCTGCTGGGTGTTGTCTACAAGTTAAGCATTTTTATGGTGGTATGATGGCTGTCTTTGTTTACCTTAAGAGTGTCCGCAGGGTATAAAGGTGAGTTTTCAAAATAATAGTCCTTATTCCCTGCGTTATTATTATTCCCTCTATGTTAATAAGTGTTCTTTGAAAAAAAGATTCAGAAAATTTTCTAGTAGTAGTATGTCTAAGCTACTACTGGGTTAAATGAATATCTTTCTGCAAGACTTCTTAGAGCTTTTGTTATTCATAGAGAGGTTTAGAATTTCCTAGAGGAAAAAGTAGTGTACTGTATTCTCAAACTTAATTGACCATGGGAAACATTTTGTAGAACATGTATCAACAACTTAGTCTAGAAAATACTGTTTTGGTGGAAATATATAGACCATGGAGCCATGCCACAGGCAAACCTCAGCCTTTACCACTAAGCAACTTGCTTCTTGAGTGAGGTATATAACTTTCTGAAACCTCAGTTTCCTCATAAGTAAATAATACTTGCCTTATAATGTGTTTAATTTTGCCACCTAATTTAGTCACATGTTTTGAATTTTTTTCTTTTTCTTTTTGTTGACGTGAAAGTCTTATGGATTAGCCTTAAACCTAACTCCGGAAGACATCTTATGATCTTTGTACCCTCAGTTCTTTTTCCAATTCCAAACAGATATTGGTACTCAGTAAATAATGATGTTTATTGAATGAATCATTGGTAATGTATACAACCCATTTAGATGTAGTTATTTCTCACATGGCTCCTCCTTTTATCTTCCTCCTGGGTAAAAACTTATTGGAAGAGGTAGGCCATGGAATGATAGTGACTTTACCTTAACAATTAAATGGCTTAAGTACCCATGTGGGTTCATACTTGATGCACTTAACACTTAGCCCAGGTGTATCTGGGGCTTCCTTAAGGAAGATGTGCTTCTCTATTTATAACTTCCTGCCACAAGATAATGCTGGCTCATTCTCATGTGAAGTATCCCATTCATAACCATTAGGCAGGAAGGGATACTGGTTTCTTTGACATCCTTAACCTTTGCTGCTTCTTGAAAAGACGAGCTGGCAAGGAAGAATTCAAAAGCTAGTATGTCTTCCTGGGAGGGTGATGGAGCCTGTAGTGGTTCCAAATTTTGATGACTGCTGAAGGAGACAGGAATATGTTCATCAATGAGCAAACAGCCCATATTAACCTTCTTTTGAGCAATATTTTCTAAAGGGAAGGACTTCGGACCAGTGTTTAGTGCCTATGTGATGCTAGACAAGTTTCCTGCCCCCAGGGTCCAGTTTCCTTGTTAAAATGAAGATATTGGAATGGATAACATTTGTGTGTTCCCTTGTTTGATAAGCCATAGTCTGAAGCAGTTGAGGACTGAGCTGGAGAAGAGCCTAGACTTCAAACTCTCTCTGAGGGCAGAATGGAGACCAAGGATTGTGGGTTACTTGAATCACAAGTCATGTGCAGAGCCCCAGGATGAGTGAGTGAACCCATTTTCATTTCTTTGTCAATGTCAGACAGCTAATCAAGGTATGGGGATTTACTTAAGCTAACGAATGTCCATCCTTTCCTGTAGAAGGGTTATTAGAATGCTGAATTTGCTAATTACTCTCTTCTCTATTTTATCTAAGCCGTGGTCTAGTCAGAGCCAAAACAGATCTATGTACCCAGAGCCTGGGAGGCTCCCGAAAGGGGGTGAGGCAGTCACATACAAAAAATGAGGGGTAGGATGGGGAGGGATGCAGTATTGAAGTGACTCAGAAGGAAAAGATGTGATTAGGCGGGAGTTAAGGATGAATGTGGTTGCTGGGACTAATGAAAATTTCCCAGTCTGTGTGTGATTTAGCAACATTTCTTCAGGATTACTGCATGTACAGGGCTAATAGGGGATGATAGAAATGTTTATCCAGGGATAGTAGCTGGAAGGGAAGATACTTGGAGTCTGTCTGGGCTTCTGTTTCCAACTTGCTGCCATTATCGTCCAAACCAGGCCTCTGCCAGTCTTGCATTTTCTGACATTTCACATCCAGAATTGTGTTGGCAGAGCTGCAGTATGATGTTTGGTTTCCTATTTCCCTATCTGTACGATGGTGTACAATCTGTACATTGAGACAAAAAGGGTAAGTGTAGACACTAGTGATTCTTGATTTCCTTTTGCAGATACTGCCAGATACTGCTGATTGAACACTGCATGTTCCCCTGGTAAAGATGGGGGTGGTCTCAGAATCCTTCAGAACATTGTTCTAGGTATATTCCTTGGAGCAGGTATGCAAGTAAATGACTTACAATTCCTGAACTAGATGCCCTTCCACAATTTCTTCACTGCTATAATTCTAAGATGATAAGATTCAAGTTTTCACATGTCATTTTGTTATTCAATCAACAAATATTTATGGGTTCTTATACGTGGTAAACATTGTACTAAATGCTGGGTGTAACTGATGAATAAAATTCAGTTAGCTCCTACCTTGTTGGAACTTAGAGATTGTAAGTACTTTGACAAACGTTTTACATTTGTCAAATGTTTGATTTGACAAATGTTTTACATTCCAGTAACTCTTAGTATGGTGCAGGGCAATCAAAATAATCTGACAGTGGGAAGGGAAGAAAGTAGATGTTATTAAGAACCTTGGTTGGGTAAGACATAAATACATTATCCAATTTAATCCTCACCACCACCTACTGAATTAGGTAATAGTCACAATTTACAGATGAGAAAAATGAGGTATGCAAAATTAAGTTGCTGAATGTCTAAGAGTGATAAGTGGTAAAGTTGAGATTTGACCTTGAATTAATTTAAGACAAAAGACAATGCTTCAAAAAGATTCTTTTGGGTGCTCATTTTGGCAGCTTGTACACTAAAACTGGCACAATAGAGAGAAGGATTTAGCATGGCTCCTGAAAAAGGATGACACACAAAATCACGAAGCATTCCATAGTTTTAAATAAAAGGTTAAAAACATTATTTTGGCGGTACCGGCATTTGAACCTAGTTGCTTGGGTAGGTGTTGTACTGCTTGAGCCATGTCTTCCACCCTTTTTGCTTTATGTTTCAGATAATAGACAATGTGGATCATGGTCCTCCTGTATTTACCTAGCTCATACCTGGGGTTATTGGTGTTCACCATCATACCTCACTAGCTTTTTGACATAGTATCTTACTAACTTCTGCCCAGATGCACCTCAAACCACAATCCTTCCATCTCTGAAGGCTTTCCATAGGCAATGCTATATAATCAAAAAGGAATTAGAATAGAAAGACCTGGAAAAGTCTTAGCCTGAGAGTGGAAACAATTAAAAAAATCACAGGTAGGAGAAAGCATCAAGTGTGTGACCAGCAATGGATGGGTAGATTAGTAAGGCTAGATGGAAGCCAGATGTCATTCATGAAGAAAATGAAAGAGTGATACTGATGGCATTTTGGAGATCTCCAGGGCTGCCTTAGCCATGGCAGACACAAATGTCAAAACTTTGAGCTTAGTATAACTTCAAAGGAGTGAACCTGGGTATCTGACCTCTGAGCCACTTCAAGTTTCTGTTCCATGCATTTGAGTGTAGATAGCACTGCAATAGCTTCAGCAGGCCCTGGCTGCTCCTCAGGAAGTCACAGGCAGTAAACCTAGGTGGTCTCTGCATTAATTCCACAGTTACCCAGAATGCAAGAGCTTTCTCAGGGAGTCCTGAGCCTAAGCAGGAAATGGTTCTAAGGGTAGGACTGTGACAGAGAACCCCACATGCTTAGTGTGGCCACAAGGACAACACTGTCTCTGTAGACAGGCCTGTAGAGAATGCCAGGGTAGAATGCCAAATTGGGAGAGCTGCTAGCACTTGACTGAAACCTAGGAGAGCAATGTGGTCCGTGCCCTCTGAAGAAGTCCAGAGTCCTGGTGCTCAAATTTTACTCCAGTTGTTCCAAAGGTAGGATATGGGGGCAAACATCATCCTTAAGCCTCAAGGTTGAGTGAGATCTGCATTGCTGGATTTGGGATTTGCTTGAGACCTACTCTGCCTTTCTTCTTTCTCCCTCGTAAATGGAAATGTCTATACCATACCTGTCCTGCTATTGTGTTGTTGAAGGACACAACTGGGTTATGATTTCGTAGGCTCACTGCTAGAGAGAATTTTTCTCAGAAGGAATGTACCTCCGTATCTAGATTTTAGAGTTTTGAGTTGGTGCTGGCATGAGCTAAGACTTTGGAAACTATTGGGAGAGAGTGAATAGATTTTGCATGGGAAGAGGCCTTGAGTTTTGAGTGTCACGAGTAGAACACTTTGTTCTGAATGTGTGAATCTCTCCAGAAGTCCAACACTCCTATGTTGGAAAGGTGGGGCCTTTGAGAGGTAATTAGGCTATGAGGAGTGTGATTGGTGAATAGGATTAACCACCTTAGGAAAGCAAGAAGGAACTAAGTAGGCCCTTCTTTGTCATTCTGGATCTTCAACCATGTAGGCATGTATCATATATGAGGGACAGGCCCTCACCAGACACCAAACCTGCTAGGGTTTTTATTTGGATTTCTCAGCCTCTAGAGATATGGGAATTAAATTTATGTTCTTTATAAATTTCTCTGCCGGAGATATTTCTGTTATAGTAGCAGCAGGAAAAAAAAAACTAAAACAGTATATCTATGAAAGAGGAACAGGAAGGCAACTATTGAAGGAACAGTATAAGAGAACTTATACTCTCCTGGATTTAAGACTAAATTTTTGTCAGGGCCTAAGCACACAGGGCAGTCTGGCTCTGTTCTTATGCATACAAAACTCCAAGTGGGAGATGTGTTACAGAATGCCTGACAAGACTGGAAGTAGCAAAAAATGATTTGGCTCAAGGTTTCCACCCATAGTCCTTGGCTCTGTTGATTCTGCACCTGTAGAGTGTGTGTGTGGTAGAGGACAGGAGTATGGGGCAGAGGGTATTCAACTTGTGACAGGAAGAGAACAGAGAGGGACAGGCTGGAAGCAGGGACCAGGAATAATCTTCAAAGCATGTCACAGGGACCTCCTTCCTCCATCTAGGTCTCATTCCTTAGGTTTACTCCCCCACCCCAAATAGTGTCATTAGCTGGGAGCTAAGTGTTCGGCTCATGAGCACTGAGATGGGGTGGGGGGAGCATTTCATACTCAAACCATAACATGTAGCTCCTGAATGCTCAGATTGCCATCCACATAGACTGATGCTCAGGGTTTGGAGACTCAGAAAGAGAGTATATTCCAGCTGGATGAAATAAAGGACTCCTCTGGAAAAGAATTGGAGAAGAATGTAGCTTAGGCTTCATCCAAGTATTTCCAGAGACCAAAAAGGCTATTTCTCATGGAGAATCTGTCCCCCACCCACTTCTTTTATTTTTCTTTCCTAAAAAAACAAAGCTGGAGTAGACTCTGGGAGTTTCTCCTCCCTTATTAGCAAAACAAACACCCAAATGTGTTCACAATACTTTTTGTCCTGTTATTTTCAGAATAACAACTAAAGCCAGGCCTTGAACTCAGGGCCTAGGTGCTGTCCCTGAGCCTCTTTGTGGTCAAAGCTAGCGCTCTACTATTTGGGCCACAGCGCCACTTCCAGCCTTTTCTGAGTAGTTTATTGGCGATAAGAATCTCACGAACTTTCCTGCCCCGGCTGGCTTTGAACCACAATTCTCAGATCTCAGCCTCCTGAGTATCTAAGATTTATAGCGTGACACACGACACTTGCACTTGGCTAAGTGATCACACACACACACACACACACACACACACACACACACACACACACACACACATCATTGATGATTACCAGCCAGAAAAGGGGTGGTTGCAGTGGAACTGCACAGGCACTAATGGATTGATTCTGATAGGATACCAACCTGTGATCTTCTTTTGACACTTTGCTCACAGTCTTCAAGGGTCTTGAAAAATGATTATCTCATTTACAAACTAGTGCTGATGGGATGCAGTATGAGGAAAACAGCAGATCTCTGAAAAGGAAAATTGAAATGGGATGTATTCACAGAAAAGTAAATTTACACCCCTCTTTACCTCAAATTATATGAGAGAGAGGAAGAGAGAGAGAAAAGGAATAGAAAGAGGAGGATGATCAAAACAAGAAGTGGGGGAGAAAACGGAAGAGGAGGAAGGGGATAGAATGAGGAGAAGGGTTTATATGGGGGTGAAGTTGTAGTTGCGATGATGGAGAGATTGGTTAAGTTTACAGGAAAATCAGAGACAGTTTTAGGAAATCCAGAGGGAGTGCAGGAAAGCAGATAGAAGGATAGGACTTTGGAGCTGGGTGATCTCTGCCTGGGTACCAATAAGGATAGTCACTGGAGGTAGGTAGAACATAGATAACCCTAGTACACAGTCTTGAGTTTGTTTTTAAAGAATAGCTGTTGAGGGGTTGGAGTGAAAGGTACCAAGTTCAAGTCCCAGTCTCAGGCCTAGGGAAAAAAAAGAATAGCTGTTGAACGTTTTTTTTCCCTCTATTGAGACAATTATTTGATATAAAATGTATATTTCCAATCTGTTAATTTGACAAGTTATATTGCTCCCTGCCTGCCATGGGGTGAGTAGCTTCCACTGCCACATGCTCCCGTCATGATGTAATTCTCTCCATAGACCCAGAAGCATCAGGGTCCCCTGAGCATAGGACAGAGGCTCTGAAACCACGAGCCAAATTAAACCTTCCTCCTCCTAAGGTGTGTTGTCACGTAGACTGACTGGCACAGAGTGCAGTGAAAGGCAGTAAGTCAGGAGGTTTGCAGGGGAGATTGTTCTGAAGATCTGGGGTTGACTCTTCTGACTTGAGGATTTCTGAATGTCTTCTTTTAAGTCTGCATTCTCCCAGAGAGCACTGATTTTTCTTGAGAAGCCTATGTAGTAACGTGCATGTCTCGCTGAGAAGGGCCCTGTTCCAGAAATGGAGTCCTGCAAGCACAGCCCTAAGAGGTGATATTCCTTCCTTATCACACTACAGTCTGTGTCCCTGTTAGCACACTAACAAGCTCTTACAAACCCTGCCACCTGGTGCAGGGAACCCCTGTATGATAAAGTTTTGTTTTCGTATTTATTTAATTTATTCATTTTTACGGAGTACTTGGGTTTGGACTCAGGGCTTACTATTTGGTGGGCAGAGTGTTTAGACCCTACCTCCCCAAAACAACAAAAGCATAAAGGACTGGGAATAGGGCTCAGGTGGTAGAGTACCTACAGAGTCAGGGTGTAGGTCTGAGTTCAAACCCTTGTACAGGTGAAAATAAAAAAGAAAGAGAAGGATTTTTTTGGGGGGCTAAATTAATTATGGGGGTCCTCAACTCCTTTTCCTTAGACAAAATGTGGCTCATGTTGAGCCTACCTTGACGAGGAAAGCCTCCTCCAATATCCTGGCATATGTAGCTCTGTCTACTGTCCTGTTTACTGCCCATACAGATCATAACTCACCTGCTATTGATTTCCTCCATGCCAATGACTCAAATTAATTGGGTAAGTTTCTTTTTTAATGCCAACTTTACAGCTTGCTTTGTAATGTTTATTATGGTAGCTTTCCTGGAAAAGAAGTTTCTGAACTGTGCTGAAATGTTGATAGCCCCTCAAAGGACTTCTAAATAAAAATGGAGCTCCTTCATGTCAAAATATTCCTTCATCCAACTCAATCACCAAGTGTTCACTAAGTACAAAGCATGTGCCAGATACAGGGACAGGGGCTCCCCAACATTCAGCAAGGCAGGTACCACCCTGGACCCCACATGCTGATGCTGTAGTTCAGGACATCTCCTAGAGCAAATACGTGACTGTGCAATGCAAATATGCATATTCATAGACTCATTTGCATACACACCAGTTTATTTGCATGCCCATTCACTCACGGGTATTTACTGAGTTGTAAGGCATGTACCAGGCACTGTGCTTGGTTGTAGGGATACGATAGTGAGTATCACAACCACTTATTAGACAGTATATGAGGGGAAGGG